GGAAAAAAAGTGCAATCAAACACGACAAAAGTAGGAAACGGAATTTCAATTCCAACTTCCATGGAAAATAAAGGGCTATCAAACAGGCCCTTAGAGTGGTTGTACCTTGGAATTCGGTTTCCATTTCTACGTTGCAATCAAACGGTTAAAGTGGAATTCATTTTTCTCGAATGTAACATTTTCCATGGAATTCGTTGCAATCAAACATGACTTTATTTAAGTTCTAAAAACATGTTTGTTTGCTTTAAAAGTTGCTCTTTCAAAAAGTGACTTAATGAATGAGTAGTTTTGAGAACCCGTTTGAGCCACATTCTTTATCAAATCAGTATTTCAAAATATACTTTTTCTAATGTATTTTGGAATACTGATTTGATAAAAAATGTGTGATTAAAAAATATAAGAATTTTTTTTGAATTTACGTGTAATATTATTTTATTAAAAAATATATGATTAAAAAAAAATGTATTTTGAAATTAATGAGATCAAACATGCTCGAATATCGAGTCTAACAAATACACAACCCGTTATACTCAGCATAGATCGAGGACTTAACCACAACTTTCTCCCATTTCTTGCTCGTATCATTCACTTTGACGAATTGTTGAAGAAATTTTGGGCTGTAGAAACAGTCGAGGAAAAGCTAAACAGTACGAAAATGGCCGCTCGGTCAGTCTGCTGCTCCAATCGTCTTTCATCTCTCTTATTCTCTCCCAAAGGTCCTTTCTCTATCTATATAGCCTTATATATCTACACAAACATGATTTTATCTAACTCCACTTTTACAGTGATTCCATTTGCTCCAGCTTACTTTTCCACACAAATTGGTAGTGACGCCCCAGTTCTGGTGAGCCATATCTCTATTTAAAAATAAAATATAAACACACGGGAATAATGTATATTGAAGACTCTGGTGTTTCCTTACACTGTGTAAAGGGGTCTTTTTTCTTTTTATTGAAGGTAAGGGATTTTATTCACGCAGCTTTGTATGATTCAAAACATGGGTATTTTTCTAGTAGATCAGGCTCGGTTGGGGTGCTTGACAGAAGCATTAAGTTTAATCAGCTTGAAGGTACTTAATTTTTTCTTTTAATTAATTTACAATTTTTTTGGTCATCGTTTTATGGCTATATGCTATTGGGTCCAGTCTATTTGGTTTAAATTTCTCTGTAATATTTGTGGGTCTAAAATTATGTGAACAATAGTGCTGGTTATGTGATTGAATTCGTTGATGATACTGGATAATGTTGTGGTTAAGACTGTTGTTAGAGCAAGGTACAAACTACCAAGGATTATGTACAGTGAATGTAGTGCTTTGCGCAGCAGTCATTATATCTCCCTCCAGCAGGTTACCTGACCAGTCCTAGAGCTGCATCAAAGTTTAGCAAAAATAGATTAAGAAGCCTTGTTCATGGGTTAAGCTTGTATAGTTAATGTATTTAACAAGATCAACTAAATGTACTACCTTAATCTTG